TAGCCTTTGCTTATTTTTCGCTTCCTGGCCAGCGTTTGATAAGGCCCTTTGAGCAGTCAAGAGGCCACAAAAGATCCATTTCCACTGACCAAGTCTTATGTTCCAAGACCTGGTAGATAGTGTAAAAGAATATGTGCATTGCTGAATACCAAAGAACTTTCAGTACCAAATTTATTTGTGAAATGCCTTCTATCCAGAATAAGGCAACTACAAGGCATCTCCAAACCATAAAGAAGCATTAACAGTACTACACCACCAACAGATAGATGAGAACGAGGATGAGGATGATGAGGATGATGAAAACAACAACAATGTTCATTTATAACACCCTTTCCACCAAAGGGCAGACGATTTAGATAAGCCTTTATTTGAAAGATGTTGTGGTGTCCAGTATAATCCAGCATTGGAAAGGTATTATTATTATTATTATTATTATTATTATTATTATTATTATTATTATCCTGCCCTTCTCCTAGGACTGAGACTCAGGGCAGCTTACAACATTAAGAAAACACCATACAGTTAAAAACGTACAAAAATAGTGCATTAAAATAGGATTAAATTACTACAATAATTAAAACAAATGCAATGCTAAAATATGAAATACTTTAAAAAGATTAAAATGCTTAAAATACATTAAAATACATTAAAGAGCATATCACATCCCCACCTGTGATCCAATGGATAGAAGACTTAACATCACTTGCAATATTTGAAAGAGTGATGTATCGAAGCAATTTGAAAATTGATGTGCATTCAGATATTTGCTCTGCGTTTATTGAAATTTATGAGTAATGATTTCTTCTTTTTTTATCTCCTTATTCCTTACTGTTGCCATAACATCATGATATCTAACTGAGAGCCGTGCAATGTAATTTTACCTTTCATAATTATTATAAAGGAAAAAAGAAAAGGGTGGGGGTGCAAACCTCTGATAAACAGAATGAAGTGAAATGAAATTCTCCTTCATTTTCTCTAGCAAAGTTCAAGAGGCACCGCTATTTTGAGCAATGGTGTGGGCCTTGTTTTACCTGCCAGGTCTCAAATGTGAGAATCTGAGACATACAGAGAGAGTACATCCCTGTGCAAACACTGTTGTTACTTGGCATCAAATCTGACTTCAGCCTATGGCAAGCCCATGAATGAAAGACCTCCAATTCACCTGATCATCACTCGGTCTTGTAGACTCAGGGCCATGGCTTTCTTGAATGAGTCTATCCACCTATAATGCAGTCTTCCTCTTTTCCTACTGTCTTCTACCTTACCAAATATTTTTGTCATTTCTGGTGAGTCATGTCTTCTTCTCATGATATGGGCAAAGTATAAAAGCCCCGGTTTAGTCATCCTGGCTTCTAGGCAGAGTTCAAAGCAAAAAAGCAAAGCAGCTTCATTTATATACCGCTTCATATCACGCTATGGGATGTCTAAGTGGTTTACAACTATAAGCTCATTGTTTGGAGCCCTGCTGGCGCAGTGGTTAAATGCCTGTTCTGCAGCCATCTACTCACAAACCACAAGGTTGTGAGTTCAATACCAGCCACAAACCACAAACCACAAGGTTGTGAGTTCAATCCCAG